ATTAACTACTATAAAAAATTGAAGTTTTTAAAAATTAGCATTAACACTTGGCTCTTGCAATTTAATAGCCACCCCATCATCTGATAGAAATGATTCATCTTTTGAAAAATTAACTTTAATATTCAAACATCTAGCCCAAGGAATAGCAGGTGCTTTCACATCCAATCCAAAAATTTCATTCTAAACTTGCATTGAATAATTCCCTTCATAATTTCTTTCTTAAGCATTAGCACAAATGGCTAGAGATTCATCCGAAGCCCTTAAACTAGAATAATTTCCTTTAGCATTGACATTACCAAATCTGTTGACAAAAAGCTTCATACCTGAAAATGAAGATGCTTCAAAATCATTTGGTCTATTCAAAAAGAGATACTATCAGTGGGACGAGGTGTTTCCACCACCATTCCATCATCAACCTATTTTCCTTTACTAATCACCAAGGATGTAGTCTTAGCAGGAACAACTATGGGCTCACTACTCACCAATGGGCCATACTTGAAATTCTTCTTTTGATTAGCTTGAATGCAAGCTTGAGATGAAACATTTTATCCAGCTCAAATACGAGAATTGGGTGGAGTAACAAAGACAGAATTTCGATGACCAGAATCGCCAAAGGCTCTATCGCAATGAGTGGAAGATTCACCAAAGAAGAAGGATGAAGAAATTTGAAAAAATGGGATTTTTCTCTCACTAGAATACGGGAGTTTCTCTCACATCACATTGTTAGACTTCATGTATGTTTTATTTTTATGAGACAATATAGAGAAATGATATTTTAAAATTTAAATTCAATGGAGTTTAAAATTTCAATTGCATACAAAAAGATATAAAAAATGTTTGGAAATTTTGTTAATTATAATAAAAATAATTAATAAGCTTTTTATTAATTTGTTCAATAAAATTAATTTTTACTTCCAATGTCATTATGTATGGTAAATGGGAGGGAAATTTTTAGTGGCAATTATTTCCCTTTTTTTACTATGGGAATCATTATCTACCATAGCTCCACCTCCACACAAAATTTCTTAAAAGCCTAACATAAAACAATCTTTAAGTGGTCGGCTAAACCATTATTCAAACAAGACTAAGTCTTTTTCGACAAGCCTTTTAGTCAATCAAAACCCTTCAAAAATTGATAAAAAACTCTAAATAAATTATAAACACATCCCTCTACTAATTAAATGCATTTTCTTATTTTTTCTAACACTTAAGCTCCTTTTCCAAAGCCAAAAATCTCACTCACAATTACAAGTAATATTGATTTTTTATTAGCATAGCCTTGATGTAAATCTTATAAAAATTTTAGAAGGTCACCAAAAATCATGATTCACTAAATATGTCTAATCAATTTCAATCCCTAAAACTACATACATCATCCACATTAAAGGCTAAAAAATAAGATTTAGAATTTTATATTCTATGCCCATTGTTAACTTGGCTGACCCCAATCTTTTTTTTCCTACCCAAAATCCACTCATCCGAAAATCTTTTTGACATCTTCTAAACTTTAATTACATCCTTTGAAGCCCCAAAAATAATTTTACCCCTCACGAAGTGACTAATCCTCATTATACCTTCACCATTAAACTGATGCCAATGTAGAGGAAATAGGACTAGGCAATCGTCTTACTTAGTTTATCTAATAACTACATATGGGGTTTTGTATTTATTGTGAAGCTATGGTTGGAGTGGTGGTTTATCTTATAGGAGGATTAAGATATGGAGGTAGATTTTAGAATGATTTGAAATAGGTACTTAAGGATGCTTAAGCTGCTTAAGCTCATTACAAAAATCAACCAAAGGATGCCCAATACATTTAGAAGAAAAAATGAACATCAAAGCTATCCAAAATTGATCAATTTTTGCCCAATAGTTCTTATAAAGAAATCTGTGAGGGGTGGAAGGTTTTTCACCAGGAAGAAGCACAATTGGACAATGATCAAAGTAAGAGGGGCTTTTTACCACATAGTGAGAGTTGGGAAAAGAAGCCAACCAATCATCATTCACCAGCATTCTATCAAGCTTAATATGACTAGGCTTATCTAGTCTCTAGTTAAACCAAGTATAAGGATTTCCCATAGAAGCAAGGTCATTAAGCTTCATAGTGAAGATGATATCATTGAAATCATGCAGCTAACTTTGAATTAGAGCATTACCCCCAAGCTTATCGGAAGGGAATCTACAACAGTTAAAATCCCCCATTAAAATCCAAGGGAGCTCCTCCAACGGTTCAATAGAAATAATATCCTCCCAAAGCCCCTTCCTCTCATCCAAATTGTTGGAGGCATATATAACAGATAAAAGAAAAGGCTTAGAAGAACTAAAAACAACCAAACCAGATATCATCTGAGAATATATGAAAAAGGGGTTGAAGGAAATCCTATAAGGGGACCACTTAATCCAAATTCTTCTAGAATTGGAGTAATGAAAATTGTTGTAGCTTTCTTCATCAAAAACCAAGTGGTTGTTACAGAAAAGGGAATCAGACAAAGCAAAGAGGTGAATCTTGTTTTCCAGAACACATAACATATCTAACCTCAAAGATTGGGCAAGTTTCCTGCAGCAGAAAACCTTGTCAAAGGAGGAAAAACCTCTGACATTCTAAGCTACGATGGAAGGACTAATAATTTATTTTTGGCGTTTGGAGTTTTTTTGGCTCGCCCCCTAGAGGATTTTGTTTGGGAAGAAGTGGTGGTTTTGCTAGTAGAATTGTTATGATGCTCTTCATTGTATGATGAGGAATTATCTGAAGAGAGAGTGTCCTACTCATTGCTGCAACTCTGAAGAACATTGAATTTATTTTTTGAGGAGACTATAGTGGTCATCAGAGAAAAAGAGGGAGCCTCCTCCTGAACCTCCTCCGTCTGCCCAAGGGATGGATCTATGGGTGAGTTGAGGTTTGTAATGGTGGGGTTGTTATGGGATGGTTGAACCACTAGTTCTGAAATGGGGCATGTGGAGGTTGCTGTTATGGGAGGGTTTGAGGAACAACTAGGAATGGAGGGAGGATCATCTGTTGGGTTCAGGTGAGAAGAAGGAGTGTTTAGGATAACTTGTGGTTGGGTGAGGGTGTTAGAAGAAGTGGGATGAGAGAAAGTCAAGCCCGCCTTAGTTTGGGTGGAGGGGGTATATTGTTTGGGGCTTTAATGGCATGTGGAGAGGGGAGTTGGCAAGAGTTGGGAAGATTATTGCCTTTAGGAGCAGGTGGGAGAGATTGGAATTTGTTTCGAGGTGATCTGGATAAGCTGAGCCCACGGGTTCGAGGCTTAGAAGGAGGTTTTGGGTTAGGGTTTGATGGACAAGCAACTGCGAAATGAGCCAATGTATTATAGTGAGACCATAAGTCCAGTTTCCACTCATATTGCACCTTAAGGTGAATAACGTTTTCTTCCAAAGAAATAGGGATGGAATCTTGGAATTTTGAAGTTGCGGACACTTGAATACAAATGTGGGCATAGGTCAGTCTAGTTTTTGTAGTAGTTAGAGCATCAACCGTTATCGGGATACCAATTTTTGAAGCAATTTGTGAAATACCTTCTCTGTTCTAGCACACGAGGTGAAGGTCAATGATCTTCACCCAAATGGGAACTGAGGAAAAATTTTCCCTAATCGGTTGAAAGAGAGGGAACCTTTTTTTCGAAAATGAAGGGTTTAGCTAAGAAATGCCATGCTCCTTTCGACCAAACCATGTCGAGATCTTTCGCAACCGAAAATTTGAACAAGAAAAAACTATCACTGAGGGCTATGAGTTGAAATGTACCTGTAAGTTTCAACACTCTTTTGCCGCTGATAGAAGAGATTCGTAGTAAGGCCTCTTACTGAGAGAGTATCCGACCAGACAAAGATCCCATTCAGGTGTAGCCGCCGCTATCTTTTCTTTGTTGAAAGGCACTATCTCTTCGGGAGTATCCAAGAAGGAGATAAGAAGGGAGGAGGTGGTAGTTTCGGGTATGGCCACCATGTTGGACCGAAGCCGATCCAAAGCTTTAGGAGAAGGTGGAGTAGTGGTCGAGGGAAGTGGGGGGAAATCCTGTGGGGAGAGGAGGGGTCCATGTGGAGGGAATAAAAATTGGCCACCGGCGGATGTCAGAGCCCTTCTCGGAGGCGGAAACTTCAAGGTCGACGAAGAGCGGTTGGGATTTCCCGAATCGCCATACCTAGCAGAGGAATTTTTATTTGGTCCGGACACCTGACGTAGCTCTACATCCGAACGCCAATAAAATCTTGCCACGTGCTCTTACTCTTTACCACGCGGCCCGACGACTCGACCCGGAACGGAAACCCGATATTGCTATGTTAGTGTATTGCTAGGTATTGCTCGGTATTGTTGGGTATTGCTTGGCAATAACAAGAAATACCGCTCTGTCAAGACCAATACCGAGCAATACTGAACAATACCTAGCAATACCTAGCAAAACCGGGGTATTGCTCGGTATTGTTCGGTATTGCTAGGTATTGCTCGGTATTACTAGGTATTGGTCTTGACAGAATGATATTTCTCGTTACCGAGTAATACCGAGCAAAACCTAGCAATACCCTGGTCTGTACAAATCAGCTAATACATTGCAATATTGGGTTCCGGTCCGGATTGGGTCGTCTGGCCGCACGATAAAGAGTAAGAGCATGTGGTGACATTTTATTAACGTCTGGATGTAGAGCTACGTCAGGTATCCAGACCTAATAAAAATTCCTACCCCGAGTCTTTGCTACGAGCTACTTTGGACCAATAATCATTGAGCATCTTTGCTGTGCCTCTATTTTAATGGTACTTACTTCTGCGGGTTTATCACTTTACCTGCATCGATTTTATTTTTATTAAAAAATGTTTTTGTAAAAATTTTATCAATAAAAGCTGTAAGGCCAGGCCAAGGGATCCGTCAAGAAAATTGTTTTCGTCCCGCACGCTGGCTCACCTTCATATTTTATTTTATTTTATTTTATTTTTCTGGGTGAAAAGCGCTCGCTAACTAGTGCGCGCTCATCTCCGCTTAGTATATAGTGCCTTGCTCAGTATTGTCACCACCCCCAACCACTCTATCACTTCCCTGTTGCCGTAGAACAACTCAGGGCATGTCGCACAGCGAAGACGGCGGCTGCGTAGCTATCACTAAAACCGGTTCACTGGAATGGCCGGAAGATCTCGAGTACATGACCGGATTTGGAAACAGCTTTTCATCCGAAGCGCTTGCTGGTGCTTTGCCTGAGGGACAGAACAACCCCCTTTTTTGCCCATTTGGCCTTTACGCGGAGCAGATCTCCGGTACGGCCTTCACTTCTCCACGACGCCTAAATCAGAGGAGGTTAACTCGTTGGCGCATATCTCTCATCCTATCTTCTATGTCAGTTTTGATGATGTGTTATTAATGCTTCTTCCTGATAAAAGTTTGGATCAGGTTGTTGGTGTGTTTATACATGAGTAGTGGGATTTGTTATTTGTTTTGATTGATTTACAAACATCTGGCCTTCTGGGACGGAATATTAACTTGAGGGTTTGTTTTTGGAAAATTGAATTGACGACGATAACTTCTTTTTTTTTTTTGTTTCCTTTTGGTTCTAATGAAGGATGGGTGCTTGCAGCTTGCTGATCTTTAAAATTTAATTTTGAATTTGTTGTTTTGCTTTGTTTTTTTATTGACTTCCATTTTTTTTTTTGGCAGCTGGTTTTATCGGATAAGGCCTTCTGTTACACATGAGCCGTTTCAAGCTCGTAAACCTCGCCATGATAAAATACTCAGCGAGTTTAATCAGGATAATTGTTCTTTCACGCCTAATCAGCTGAGGTGGAGGCCCGTTGATTTCCCTGAGTCTCCCACTGATTTTATCGACGGGATGTACACCATGTGCGGAGCGGGAAGCTCTTTTCTTAGACATGGTTTTGCTATTCACATGTAAGGATTGACTCGTTGAAGTATATTTATGCTTGAAGTTGCAATGTCCTGTTTCTGTCAGTGTTGAAGTATCCCAAATTTATTTAATTTCATGACGCATAATAGTTTAATTATGTTATATAGTCTAAGCTAGTGAATATAAATTATTTGGAGTCTTCTATTGATTTTGTTTTATGTATTCTATATGCTTGATACGTCATCAAATATTACTTTGATCCAACACGATTCTCAAGGCATATTCTAGTTGAAAACTTCTGAAATTAAATGTGAAACCATCCAAACTCCAATTTCAGCAAATTTTCAGTCAAACTGAATGTGTCAAAGAGATGAACCCAACGACATCAAAATCGGTCCAATCCGAACCAAAATGGGGCTAAATTAAGAGTTCAAAGCATATTTGGAAGGTTCAAATCATTAATTAGATGACAAAATTATATCTAAATATGGCATGCTTATAGTCGAATTTAGCGGCTAGGCGAGACTTATCCAACGAGCCCAGGATCGTTGAATTCCGACATTATTAAGGCACTTAAACACTTGAAAAATGCTCTATAATCGGGGAAATCAATACGGGTCATTCGATGGAGCACTCAGAAAGTGTCCCCGGATCTTCTCTATATTTATAGGGTGTGTCACTACAACCTCCGTCGCCCGCCGACTATAGATCGTCTGTCCACCGTCGCCCACAAACTATGGTCCGTTCAACCTCCGTCGCCTGCCGACTACGGTCCTTACAATCTTCGTTGCCCACCGACTACGGTACCTCCGATCTCCTACGCCCGCCGACTACGATCCCTTCGACCATCGTCATGCGGCGACTATGGTCTCTCCGACCACCGTTGCCCGCCAACTACGGTCCCTCTAACCTCCATCGCTCTCCAACTACAATCACTCTGATCTCTATTGACTACCGACTACGGTGTGTCCGACCTCCATCACACACCGACTATGATGTCTTCGACCACCGTCGCCACTAACTATGGTCCCTTCAACCTTCATCGCATGTCGACTATAGTCCCTCTAACCTCCATCATCCTATCAACCAAATGAACAAGTCAACTTTCTCTTGAGAATTGCTCCCTTATCATTGGATTCTTCCAACCTAAACTATGTAATGTGCTCTATATGATACAATGAGCCAATGCCTTTCCCATGAGGAAGGGCACCATTTGTAATTGACTATAAGCACTAGTGGAATCATTTCAATCGGGCCAGGCTACGCAGTTTTTCCCTTTTTAAAGATTTTTCACATAAAAATATTGATGTCTCTTATGACTATTGCATACAACTTTTTTATCAGTGTGTTTGTTGGATCTTTGTTCAAAGTTAAGACATTAAGCTCTTTATCTCTCTATCACCTTGAATGTTCCAGTCCGTAACAACTTTTTGTGGGAAACGATTCCTTAGGGGCAACTTTTGCTCCAACCTTGAAAGGCCGGTCACGTCAACGTCCTAGACTTGGTTAAAGAAAGGTAGTCTCTTTACCATGCCTCATTATTCTTGGACCAAAGGAAGTCCATCAATATTAAGGAAATCTTAATCACAATGAGCAGATATTATTCTATCACATTTCAACCATCAACCATCCCTACATCAATTTTATGGGAAGCAGATTTTGATTAGGGGGGCAACCTTAATTGTAATTCCGAATATGTTTTTAATCAAGCAGGTCCTTCCAGTATTTTACTTGTCCAAAAATAATCTTACTAGAAACTATTTATCATAAAGCTTCTCAGGCTTCAAATGAATCTTAAACTCTATAAAGTTCGCTGCTGGACTTTTACTCCTTGGTTAAGGTAAGTCTCGACCTCAAAAAGGCAGTAATAATCTAAAGATAGATTATTCTTCACCTTCAATTTGGGATACACACGGCATTCACCCCTCCAATCAAGGTATAATTGATCTCAAAGGGATTTGATTCGACTTCTCTCACACAGGTTAACATTATCGAGCAATGCTCTGATAAACAACGTCATATAGGTCAAACAGATAGGTCAAACATTCTTGGTGGATTTTCGTCAACCTCTTCCACGCAGGTTAGCACCATCAAGAAATATTTTAGCAAATAATCACGGATAGGTCAAACATCCTTGGTGTATTCTCTTAACATCTTCAACATAAGTTAACATCATCAAGTAATGCTTTGGCAAGCAACCTTGGATAGATCAAACATGTTGTGTAGATCTCTCTCGATATCTTCCATTCAAATTAACGTCATCGAGCAGCCCTCTGACGAATAATCTCAGAAAGATCAGAGCTCTAACAAGCCTTCGCTCATTTGGCACTATTAGTATGCCACCAGATTACTTCCATCAATGTACCACCTAATCACCTCCGTTAGGCTATTCATAGTCTTCCCCTATAAGCATGGATGCTAACTATCAATAGAATACAGCTTAGCCACCACCATCATCAGCTCTTCACTTGATCTCTACTGTCGGTATTTAAACTATTACAGGACAATTTTTCCCCCATCAGGAGTAAATTGGAGCCTGCGTAAGAGTAGGGGTGTCAATATTTGATAGGACCCGAGAACTTAACTCGAACCCGACCCGAAAATTTCGGGTTAGGGTCAACCCAAACCCGAAACGGGTCAGGTTCGGGTTCAACATTTCGACCCGTTTCAAAATTCAGGTCGGGTTTGGTTTAACCCTTTGACCCGAGATTGACCCAAAAGTGACCTGTTTTTAACCTAAAAACCCGATTTTGACCCGACAAACCGAGATTGACCCGATTTTGACCCATTTTTTACATGAAGGAGATTGACCCATTTTTACCTGAAAATTAGCTATTTTTTTCGTTGGAAACCGATCATTTGGGGCTTGTCGGGTTGATCCTGACACGAAGCGGGTTGGGTTTGGGTCCGAAAAATCTACCCATTTTTTAAAACAAGTCGGGTTCGGGTTGAGTCGAATAGTGCCAGGTTAGTTTCGAGTTCGATCCGAACCCGACCGGTGACCCGAAATTGACACCCCTACGTAAGAGTATTGGGCTTTCATCACCACTGTCGATATTTAAACTCTTACTGAATAAGCATGAGTGAATTGGAGCCTGCATAAGAGTATCGCACTTTGATTATTGCTGTTGGTATTGAAACTCTTGTTGGATAATTTTTCCTTAATCGAGAGTGAATTGGAGTCTGCGTAAGAGTACCGGGCTTTGATTGCCGTTGCTAGTATTTAAAGTCTTGCCGGATAATTTTTCCCCCTTCGGGAGTGAATTAGAGCCCACGTAAGAGTATAGGGCTTTGATCGCTGTTACCAGTATAGGGCAAATTTTTGAATTTTTTATTAATTTTAAAAAAATTTTAATACCTAAAAAAGAATTAATCCCTATTTTTGAAAAAATAAAATAGGAAGTTATTTAAAAATATTAATGTTAAAAAATAAATTAAATATGCAGGAAATTTATTATTTCCTTTCTAGAAAAATTTTTGGATTCCTTAGGATTTTCTAAAAAGTTTTCAAAAATTTTTGGGGCAAAAAATATTATTTGTCTATTAAGTGTTTTATTAATTAAATATTAAAAAAATCCCCACCAACTTATTGGTGCGGCTATTGTAGCCCTACCTGCCTTCCTTAGAGAAAAAAATAAAATAAAATATGTATTAATGATAAATATATATAAATATGAGTATATATAAATTGATTATTTATAATTGGTTGTTATAGATATTTTTGTTGTTCATTTATATTATATCTCGTTATTTTAATATTTTTTATGTCCGCGGAACCGTTTTTCGATGTTCCAGATTTAATTTTGATAGTTTTGAAACACAAAAGAGCCTCGATGATAAGTTTTGTGCTATTTGAAAAGATTTGGAGTAAAATTTTTTGACATTTTTTGCACTGATTAACGCTCTGACTTGGCAGAATACTAAAATTGTAGATATATTTTTTGACTTTATAAGTTTCAACATTCAAAAATAGGGGGCAATTAATACATCATCTATATTGCTTTGATCGAACATAAATCTCGACGCATATTCAAGTTGGAAACTTCTAAAATTAAATTTGAAAGCATTTGAACTCCAATTTCAGCAAACTTATAATCAAACTAAATGTATCGAAGAGACTAATCCAACGACACCAAAATTGGTTCAATCTGAGCCCAAATGGGGTTGAATTAAGAGTATGAAGCATATTTGGAAGGTTCTAAGCGTTAGTTGGATGACAAAATTATATCCAAATATAACATTCTTATAGTAAAATTGAGCGGCTCGGCGAGACGAATCCAACGAGCCCATGATCGTTGAATTCAACATCATTAAGGCACTTAAACACTTGAAAAATGCTCTATGATAGGGGGAATCAATGTGGGCCATCCGATAAAGCACTCCGAACCTGCACCGGATCTTCTCTATATTTACGGGATGCGCTACTCATGAAAATCTATAAATTGATCACCACTCTCTACATGAGATGGACATTTGGCCATAGTTTAGAGAAAGCATTGAAGCTTCAAGAACTCCAGCACCATCACTGGCTAACCTCTGTGGACCATCGCCGAACCATGCCCTGGCCGGCCACCACCGCTGGACTTCAACCTTGTTGCCGACTACCGTCGGACTTCCATCTGAGCATTGTTGGATCACCGCTTGGCCGCCAATTGCCGCTAGACTTCCACCCGGCTGTCGATCGCTGCTTGACTTCCATTTGGTTGATGGTCACCGCCAAACTTCTACCCGACCATCGTCGGACCACCGCTCGGCCACCAACCACCGCTCGGCCCATCAACTACAATTCGTTCGACCACGGTCGCCCGTTGACTACAGTCCCTTCGACCACAGTCTCATGCCGACTACAGTCCCTTTGACCTCAGTGGCATGCGGACTACGGTCCCTCCATCCTCTGTTGTCCTGCCAATCAAATGAATAAGCCAACTTTCTCTTGAAAATAGCTCCCTTATCATTGGTTTCTTACAACCCCAACTATGTAATGTGCTATATATAATATAATGAGCCAAAGATTTTCCCTCGAGGAAGGGTACCATTTGTAATCGACTACGAACACTAGTGGAATCATTTCAACTGAGCTAGGCTCTATAATTTTTTTTCCTTTTTAGGATTTTCCACGTAAAAATCCTGGTCTCTTATGACTATTGCACAACTCTCTTTTATTTGTATACTTTATGGATCTTCGTTCAAAACTAAGGCATTAAGCTCTTTATCTCTCTAACATCACAAATGTTCTAGTCCATAACAATGCTAAAAAATATTGGAATAGATTAGTTTGTTTTCTACTTTCTCCATACCAGTAAGAAGCATGTAGTGTTTGGTATTCTAGTTTTCTTAATGTGTGTTTGCTTTGATTCTTACTTCTTACTTAGCAACCATGTTTATGCCCTTGCAGTGTAAAAAGTATCATTTATATACGTAGGCTCGGAGTCTAATTTAATGGTTCTGATTAGAATATTTCTTTTTCTTAATTCAAAGATATGCTGGTTTTACCAAAACCTTAGCGTAGTGCATTTCTCCTTTCCAACATTCTTTTGGCAAATAATTTAATAAATATGATATATATATATATATATATTGCATATGTTTGATAGATAAAATTTCGATTCGAGCGAATGAGATTAATTAAACTTTAAAGAAAATTTTTTAATTTATACTTGATTTAATTTTAATTCAAAATTAAAATTAATTTGAATAAATATGAAATCATTAAAATTGAGTCATCGTGAACTTGATTGAGTCTAATCAAATTCATTATAGTCCTAGGCGTGACTTTCTCAAGTAATATTTATATTTAAAGTAAAATAGATTTTTAAAAAAATGTATTTGCTAATTTAAAAAATAATAATTATAATTTTTATTGTTTGCTACCAAAGTTGTTATGATGGTGTCTGCGTGGCAGCTAGCTAGCCTAGTCTTCTTCCCCTTATGAGGTGTTTATGGCTGTTTTGAAATTGTTATATTTTTGTATATTTTTTTTGTTAAATTAATTTGTAAGTCTGATTGTTTTGAAAAGTTTACCTTAAATATTCTCCATGAAGAGTAGTACCTAGGCAAGTAATTCTGATTTAGTCATCCTTGATGATGGTGGAGAATGTGTGTTAATTCCTATCTTTAAGAACAAAGGTGTTGCGCAAAATTGTGCAAATTATAGAAGAATTAAATTGATGCGTCATACTTTAAAGCTATGGGAGAGAGTTATTAGAGCATAGGTTACGACATGATAGTAACATTTCTCAAAATTAATTTGGATTCATGCCGGGTAGGTCTACTATGGAAGTCATATATTTATTGAGAGGTTTGATGGAGAAGTGTAGAGAGAAAAAGGAAGATCATCATATGATTTTTATTGATCTAGAGAAAGCATATGATAAAGTTTCAAGAGAAGTGTTTTGGAGAGTTCTAAAGAATAAAGGGATAATGCTTATATTAAAGTCATTAGGGATATGTATGTTCGAGCTGCTATTGGTGTTCAAACACAGGTGGTTTGACCAAGTATTTTTCAATTTCAGTTGGATTACATCAAGAATTAGTCTTAAGCCCATATCTTTTTGCTTTAGTCATGGATGTTCTTACTAGAGATTCGCAAGAGGATGTTCCTTGGTGCTAACGATATTCTTCTTGTTAATAATACTAAAGAGGGAGTTGAAGGTAAACTTGAATTATGTAGGTCAACCTTAGAGTCTAAAGGTTTTCGTTTAAGTAGATCTAAAACCGAATACATTGAGTGTAATTTTAATAGTAATAGTTCTAGTGGGTGATTTGTGACTTTTCGTGATCAAGTCATTAATAAGAGTACACGTTTTAGATATCTTAGGGCCTATTGGTCAAAGTGAAGGTGAAATAGATGGGGATATTATTAGTATAATTCAAGTTGGATGGATGAAGTGGAGGAATGTATCGGGCTTATTGTGTGATAGAAACGTACCACTCAAACTTAAGGGAAAATTCTATAAGATGGTGGTTAGACCTGCAATGCTTTATGGCGCATAATGTTGGCCCTTAAAAGAGAAGCATACTATTAAGCTAAGTGTTGCAGAGATGAGGATGCTCAAGTGTATGAGTTGCTTTACTGTTAGAGACAGGGTACAAAATGAGCATATATGTGAAAAGGTTGGAGTAGCTCCTATGGCAGATAATATTAGAGAAAGTCGCCTTAGATGGTTTGGTCACATAAAATGGCAGCCTTCTGATAACCCGGTTAGGAGAGTAGATGTATTATATTTTGAAAGTTCGTATAGGTTGTTAGACCTAAGTCAATTGTCCCAATCCTAACCAAGAACGAGATGAATTGGTAATTTAAAAAACTCTTGAAAATTTTATAGAAAACTATTTTTATTAATTTTAAGCACAATGAAAGTTTTAACACAATAAAAATTTTTCAACCACAAAATTAAAATTACAGAAATTAAAAATGCGGTAAATTAAAAACACAGAAATTTATAGCGGTTCGGTTCAACTTGACCTACGTCCACTCCCTGAAGACTCCCTCTTCAGATATTGCACTATTATCAAAGCGACTCTCTTTTTGCTCCGACAGAAGACGGAGAATCCTTTAAATTACCCTCTCTTCCACCAATTCCCGGTGCGGCAGAGTACCGTTGTCCTTTCACACCCTCCATGTGTCAGTAGAGTACCGTCATCCTTTCACACCCTCCAAGTGTCGTCAGAAAGTCGGCGTCCTTTCACACCCTTCAAGTGTCGGTAGAGAACCGACGTCCTTTCACACACTCCTGGTGTCGGTAGAGAACCGACGTCCTTTTTCACCCTCTCGGTGAAGACAGAGAACCCGCGACCAATGTTGAAGAACTTCACTTAAGAGCCTCAATATGAGATGGGCAGAAACTTGAAGGAGATAAAGAGATCCTTGTTTTGGGCAACCTTGTGAATCCCTAACAACTCCCCTCACTTGTTCTCTCACACTTCATTCTCACATTCTTTCCCAAACACTCACACTCAATGACCACTCTCAAGAGAAATTCACAACAAAGGTGTTTAGTGACAATTTTTCGGACTCCTTATATAGAAAAGACATGAAAAATCGTCCAAAATCTTAAAATTACAAGAAAATTGTCCTACGATCGTACTGTTCGATCGTATATTGTCCCGTACGAACACATAGTGTCCCATACGAATTGCCCGTATGAACGCATAGTGTCCCATATGAATCGTTCGTATGAACGCATAGTGTCTCGTACAAACAATTCAAATTTATCTGTGCGAATTGGTACGAATTCAATTTCATCAATCCGTATGAACGCATAGTGTCCCGTATAAACAGTTCAAATTCATTTGTATGAACTGACATCGTATTGTACTAGCAGTTCAAAAACTGAACAAGTTCGGCCGGTACGATTGTGTGCGAACCTATTTCGTGCTTTGGTCGTCGTCTGTACGAACCCTACATCGTACAGTACGAACTAGTTAAATCAAATCATGTTTCGTATGGTACGAACATGGACAAGCCCATTTGTACTCTGGAAGTCGTCTGTACGAACCCATGTTCGTACAATACGAATAGTTCAAAAAAAAATTCAAAGGCATGATTCGATTAACTGCTTTCTAGAGGAACACTCAGATCAAATAGTCCAGTACGATCCCAAAATCTTATATTACGATTAGTTTAAAAATATAAGTTTTTACACTCCTCCAGTGTGTGTGCACGGCTACCCAATTACAATCACACTTTCTCAGACTCAAGAAAAATAAAAAAATTATAGACTTCATTACAAGAAACCCTAATCTAATATGTCTTGAAGTCTTTGGCAGTCTGGAGTATGATTTTCCTGAAATGATAGTATATACACAAAACAAATATAGCATGAAAAATACTATGAAACATAAAGATGTGAGCCATAATGTTTGTTATCATTAAAAATATAAACTCATGAGCAATGAGTCGCAACAGATTTAACCGATGTTAAGAGAGATAGAGGTAGACCTAAAAGACTTGATTAGAAAATATTAGAAATGATATTTCCTTATTAGATCCAAATGAGAATTTGACTTTTTATTAGACACAATGGAGAAAAAGGATTCATGTTGCCGACCCCACGTAGTGGGATAAAGACTTGATGTTATTGTTGTTGTTGTTTGTTGACAGTTTTATTAATGTATAAAAAGTAATGGTTAAAGTAGTTTTAACACAGAAGGTCTTTGCTCTTTAGTTTTGATACTAGGTTAGCACATTCATACATCATGGTAAATTATTACCATATTCAAATTGCTATTTTGTGTAGGTATGCTGCAAACAAGTCCATGGAGGGTTGTGCCTTTTGCAATGCTGATGGGGATTTCTTATTAGTTCCACAAACAGGAAGTATTGATTTTTTACTCTTTGGTGCACATTGTTTTGTTGATTTGTAGCATAAATAATGTATTCAACTAAATTTTGGCCTTATCTTTTTCTCCTTAAGATGACTCATCTATGATGTGATAGAAATTAACCTACTACTGGATTTAAACTCGATAAACTGTGCCATAGTTTAACTAACATGGACAAGTTAACATGAAATGGGTTAATTTTAGAATATGCCTAATTTCAGATTACTAGGTAAACTGTGCAATGCTAGTGTGTATCTGTTAATGGAAAGGGAACTTCAAGGTGGCATGGGTTTCTCATACTTCTCTTGAAGCTTCTATAGTTTCAGTTAAAATGCGACTGTTGTGTCCTTAAAGGTTGTAAAATAGTGTGAAGGTAAAAGTAGCACCTAGCAAAGATAAGGCAACAAAAAGGTTAAAAAAAAAGAACTTAGGTTTTCTATGTATATTTAAAGAATTGCTAAAAGATACATACATCGATTAGAAAACTTTATAGTCTGTTGTATGTAGTTCATCGTACAGAGTTTTTTTTTAATAAATTGCATGTATCTTTTCTCTCCTTATCCAATCATTTGTCTTACGATGATGTCCAGGATTGTGGATTACAACTGAATGTGGGAGGCTGCAAGTCTCTCCTGGTGAAATAGTAGTTGTTCCTCAAGGTTTCCGATTTTCTGTGGGCTTGCCTGATGGTCCGTCTCGTGGTTATGTTGCTGAAGTTTTTGGAACTCACTTTCAACTCCCTGATCTTGGTCCTATTGGTACAGTTTTTTATTAGCTTTTGCTACATTTCTCAACCTTTCAATTTCCCTTCAAATGGAGTTAAATATTTTTCTAAATGCTATTGTAGGTGCAAATGGCCTAGCCTCTCCAAGGGACTTTTACGTCCCCACAGCTTGGTATGAAGATGAAGCTCACATTGGTTATACAATTGTCCAAAAGTTTGGTGGAGATCTTTTCACTGCAAAACAAGATTTTTCTCCGTTTAATGTGGTTGCTTGGCATGGGAATTATGTGCCTTATAAGGTATTAGTTATGTTTATGCTGATCAATGTATGTTCTTAGATTCTTTTATTCCAATAAAATCATGCAGTCTTTGTAGACTGCTAATCCATCCATGAGATTCATTGGAGATTTTTTTCGTTATCGAGCGCAGATCATCATTGTTAACAAAATCTGTCTAGTGGAGCTTAAATCAAATACATAAGTTCATACTATGTTTCCACTAAGGTATCCTTTTCCCTTCTTGCATTGTCAAAGGGTACTGGAGAAATAATGGAGAATTGTGGGCTGAAAATTCTTACTTAGCTTTGTTGAAATATGCAAGTGATTGAGTTAATTTTAAGAAGGTATGTGAATTTTAGATAAAACATTGTCCAGATATTTAGTCCTTATGTGAGAATTTTATGATTTGACTTGAGGTTTCTCACAGGCATAATGCGCTAGTATTATCTCTTTTGATAACAAGGGTTAAATTTCTATTAAGGGGTTAGTGTATAAGCTCTATGGTGCTTTGTTTTTGTAGAAACCAATTGGATTCGAGCAAAAATACACAACTATTAGTTTAATGGATGGTGAGGAAATGATTATGAACGGGAGATGAAGATTTTATAATTCTATCATCTTGAGTTATCATAAGCCTTGGTCAGCTTGGTCAATGGGGCTAGTTGACCTAATTTGATTATTGGATTTTATCAGCAACCATCTGTTATATTGTTAAATAGAGCTTTGTTGGATTAGGAGGAAATGTTATTGAATCGGGCTCATTTTAAATCGACTTTTGCTAAAATGGGACTTTATTCTCTGTCAAGGGCACATTATAATTCACGACTCATTGGCTTAGATATTGGAGAATATATGGGATTAGGCTGTAATTGTAGTCTAGTGGAGTTATCACAATCAAGTAACCACCGAGTCAATAGTCACGAGTCACATTTTTACAGGTGTAAGATTTTCAGTGTCAGCATAAAATTGTTTTTGAGATGACATTGGTTTCTTAATCTTTTGTCAAAATTAAAATTTTCATCCTTAACAAATAAATGCTGAAGATGAATGGATTTTTATTATTAGTATGACGCAGCTATAGATTTTTTAGTGTGCATATATATATTCTTTGGAGAACTAGATGAAATTACTTTTGGTTATGCTTTTTCTTTGAATATGCCCATCATTGAGGAAAAAGCCTGAAGTGTATTTATCTTAGATTTTAAAAGAGTATTTTTATGATGAGGATACTCTCTAGTCTGATTGGTGATAAACATGCTCAACATGAAGTATGAGTGATGTGGACATCCGACGATGGACGTTAATCAAAGGAAGAGACGAAGATCGACGGCCGAGATCCCTTCATTTTATCTTAGTTTATTAATTGTATTTTTTATTTAATTATACATTTTTCATTTTTACCCTTAAGAGTCTTATCTTATGTAAGCCCAAGGGGCAAAGTTGTTTTTTAGTTTCTTTTAAGGCCTATATATAGAGGCCCCTTGCTCTTGTATTAGACGATGATGGATTATTAAAAAAAATTTGTCTGCACTCTTGTTCTTTGGGAAGAACTTTGGTGAGATTCCTATATGAGGGAAGCGTAATACCCACCAGCCGCAGGATGTGTTCAGGCTCATGGTTTATCTTCTTTTCATATCTTCTTCCCTCTCTCTTTCTCCACCGGCCATCTTCTTCCATTATTCCTCTCTCTAAATCCCCCACCCTCCTCCTTTAACTGCCGGTTTTCTACCACCCTTCCACCCCACCACCACCTCCTAGCCGGCAACCCCTTCCCCACAACCCTCCCCTTCCCCACCGAAATCCACACCTCCTTTTTCTTCCCTTGGCTCCACCAATTCAAATCTTGCATTCAAAACCTTCCAATTTGAACCATTCTTACTTTGGGAACAATTTAATTTCATATTCAAATAAATTTGAATTTTGAATTTGTTTCCTAAAATGAGAATCCCTATTTTAAGAAAGTTCCTAAATTCACGCCCATTTGCATTTTTAAATAGGGTTGGAATTAAATCAATCCTTCCTAATTTAAAATTCTAATTCAAGCAAGCATTAATTTCCCTCTTTTAAACCTTTCCCCTCCTTGAAGCCGCTATCCCCTCATCATCCACAAGTTTGAATTTCAAATCCAATTAGCCTCTTGATTACTTTTCTAAATTAGTTAATTGTTAACTTGGAAAGCTTCTTAAATTGAATTCAAATAGATTTGAATTTCAAAAATCTTTTCGGATTAATAAATCTATTTTAGGATGCTCCTTCAATTCCTACAAATCTGAAATTAATTTCAGATTTAATTCTCAATCCCAATTAATGCTTGATTCACATTCATTGAACCTAGACTCCTCATCATTCCCTCTCACTTGGCTGGCCCCTCTCTCCCCTCTATCGTAATGATTTCCTTCCTAATTAAAGGCCCTAATTAAGGAGATAATTAATTCTTCTCTTCCCTTCCTTCTTTCCCATTAATTAAGGGAAATTTGATATGGAATTTTAGATCTTTAGATTTTATCACTCCTTTCATTCTACATCAGTTTGGTATCAGAGCATGGTTGTACAACCAGGATGCGTACTCGACGGAGTCGAGCTTTCTCCCACCCCGGAAGAATGATGCAGACATCTGACCGTGGACGTTAATCAAAGGAAGATATGAAGATCGATGGTCGAGATCCATCCATTTTATCTTAGTTTATTAATTGAATTTTTGATTTATTTATGCATTTTTCGTTTTTACCCTTACTTAAGGGTCTTGTCTTATGTTAAGCCCAAGGGACAAAGTTTTTTTTTTAAGTTTCTTTTAAGGCCTATATATAGAGGCCCTTGCTCTTATATTAGACGATGATGGATTATTAGAAAAAAATTGTCTGCACTCTTATTCTTTGGGAAGAATTTTTGTGAGATCTCTATGTGAGGGAAGCGTAATGCCCACCAGCCGTAGGATGTGTCCGGTCTCGTGGTTAAAGTCCCTAGGTAAGGGCATCGCATCACCCGTCTGCCGCAAGATGTGTCCAAGCTCATGGTTTATCTTTTTTCCCCATCTCTCTTTCTCCACCGGCCATCTTCTTCCATTATTCCTCTCTCTAAATCCCCCACCCTCCTTTAACCGCCAGTTTTCTACCACCCTTCCACCCCACCACCACCTCATAGCTGGCAACCCCTTCCCCACAACCCCCATTCCCCACTGAAATCCACACCTCCTCGCTCTTCCCCTATGATGCACCGACACTCTGCTTAAAGAGGGTATGCAGTGTCGAACATGACACGACATGGACACGTGTGCGACGCGGTATTGAAGTGTCGCAATTTAAAAAATTAAAATTAAAATCGGACACGAGTGTCTGGTTATTAAATGATAAAATCGTTCTGTTCTATTTAGCCTTTTCCGCGAACGAGAAGCCCTATTTTTTCGATCCACGAAAGAAATCTTCTAGGGCGGACCGGGAGAGCTCGCAGTCGACTCCAAACAGAGCTGGCTGCCTTCGCCTCCCGTTCCTTCGTCATTTCTTCTCGAGTCGAGGCCAAGCAGAGCTCGTCTTTCCCATTCCTTCGTTCTTGCGTGATTTCTGTGGTCATCCGAGGCAAAGTTCGCAATCAAGGCCAAGCAAAGCACCTTCTGCGCACAAGAGAGCCAAGACCTATAAGTGAATTTCGCTATTTTTTCTCTTCATTGTTGAAAAACCTAATGTACATGCTCGGTACCGCTAGGTATCGATAGGTACATGCTCGGTATCGCTAGGTACAAGCTCGGTACCGCTCAGTACATGCTCGGTGCCACTAGGTACATGTTCGGTACTGCTAGGTACATGCTTGGTACTGTTAGGTACATGCTCGGTACCACTCAGTATCTTCCCATATAAATAACTTACGAACTTTAAAAACAAGCAGGTCGAACCCCACCAGGGGGCAGCGCCCCCTTAGACCCTCGGCAGATCGGTATATTGTTGTATTCATGTTGTCTTATTATTGGGATATTTTGATTTCACTTCATATCAATTTAATTTGATGTATTTATATGTATGATTGGTTTGTTAGCAAAATGAGCTCTGCTGCTGGCGGGAGTGGATTAGGTGAAGGTTCAAAAGAGCCATCTGTAGAAACTGATAAGCCGTTATGATTTCATTTTACAAAGTTAGGAAAAACATTTTAAGGAGGTAATGTGTCATTCAAATACAATTATTGTGGTAGCACCTACAAATGCAATTATTGTGGTGAATCTAATTCTATCATTCCCTCTATTGCGTAGTTGGACCTTCATGTTGTACTCAATAATTTTTTGCTTATATTTTTGTGGTTGTACTATACATTTTGTACTAAACATCTTTATGTTATAAGTTAAACAAGTTATCATGAAATTGATTTATTATTGCTTGTCATTTTTACTATAATGTCACCTTAATTTCTATATATTATATTAAAAAATTATTATGTCGTGTCCACGCCACACCCATATCCTATGTTTTTAAAAATTGCCGTGACCCGTGTCCGTGTCGTGTCGTGTCCGTGTCGGTGCATCATAGCTCTTTCCTTGACTCCACCCATTCAAATCTTGCATTCAAAACCTTCCAATTTGAGCCCTTCTTATTTTGGGAACAATTTAATTTCATATTCAAATAAATTTGACTTTTGAATTTGTTTCCTAAAATGAGAATCCCTATTTTAAGAAAGTTCCTAAATTCATGCCCATTTGCTTTTTTAAATAGGGTTGGAATTAAATCAATCATTCATAATTTAAAATACTAATTCAAGTAAGCATTAATTTCCCTCTCTTAAACCTCTCACCTCCTTGAAGCCGCTAGCCCCTCCTCATCCACAAGTTTGAATTTCATATTCAATTAGCCTCTTGATTACTTTCCTAAATTAGTCAAGTTATATTGGAAAGCTTCTTAAATTGAATTCAAATAGATTTGAATTTCAAAAATTTTTCCGAATTAATAAATCCATTTTAGGATGCTCCTCCAATTCCTACAAATTTGAAATTAATTTCAGATTTAATTCTCAATCCCAATTAATGCTTGTTTCACATTCAT